GGGCCCTCGAAATGCGTGCTTTCATCAGCTTGTCCCTTGTGGCAAAGGTTTCAACCACCACCCCACCTGATGTGGAAAGGGCGCATTTCTCTCTCTCTCTCTCTTCCTCCCTCATTTTTCAGTATCTGGCGGGTGCTTATCGCCCTCATAAATGCTATCTGCTAGCTATTTTCATAACTGTACATACCACTTCTGATCCGAAGCCCACACCACTGCGCATCCATGTGCTATAGTTCATTTTTTTTTTAACAGCGTAATACAGCCCACAATAGCCCTGCTGGGTTTGTTTAGATTGGTTCTCCAGACCAGAAAACAAATGGTAACGCCGTCAAGCAGCAGCATGAGTACGGTCAAGTACATCGATTTTCCTTTTCAGTGTCTTTCTGTAGCGTAGAAACACACAAGAAAAGGATCATTTCAGTGCGGCATTCGCCGTGGTACCTCCCACTCCAAGGCGCTGTCATTCAAAGGGGTACACCGCTGCCGTCTTTTGCTACCAGCAAACCCCACGAAGCCGACAACCTGCCGGTGCTGAGCGCCACTGCTGGCGCTAAAGGGCTTCGTTAGATAATAGCGGCCAGTTAGCTAGCCAACCAGCCAGGTCGTTTTTAGTTTGATTGGTCGTCCAGTCTGTCGATTAAAGGGCATCTTTCCCGTCGGTTACTTTCTCCACCATCGCCTACTCTGGCGCCAGCGACGCTAGTAATGGTCTTCGTGACTTGTTTCTGGTCGCTTCCAGAAAGCCACCAGAGAAGGCAGCTGGAAAAGGAAAAAGAAAAATAGAGCAATGCAGGGATGTAGCCGGCGGCGGCGGCTAACCGTTGGTCTGTACTAGCAGAACGACAGGAAAGCGGATGAGCTTCACGACGGCAGTCGTCGTCATTGCATGGAGTAGCAGCAGAGCTAAACGAGGTCATTCACCTCGATGATGAAGCAATAATAGCACGCTGCGGCTGCGGCGTCTGTCTGGTACGCGTCTGCACCCCGATGTCTGTTGTTACTGTTGCTGCTACTCTACGAGGCAAGGCGTTGCCGGAGTGCGCGGCTGGCGGTCGGTAGCCGTCGGCTGGATGAGATACACGAGCCATGATCTAGTTAGTTTGAGTGTTTCCGTGTCTAGCCAAGGCTTCTACCACTTATCAAGCTCTGCACTTGACAGGGTCTGTGGACTAAAGGGAACTTTTGACTATGGACAGGCAGAAGTCGACCAACGACTAAACGGAAGACATACAGCCGAAAGGCCTCGAGTAGAGTTTGAATACGAAGTAGCTACGAATGACAGCATGTTAAGTTTAATCAGACGACGATGTTATTGAGGTAACGCTGCTCGATGGTCGAGAAAAGATTAACCGAACGACGAACCCAGCTGATTTATCTTAGATTTATTATTTCATCGACCAGTGCCAATCTGGCGTGACCCTGACAGACGCTGCAGTGGAATACAATGAATAGAAAAATGCCGTTCAGTTATATCACTTCCTTATTCGATAGATTTCCGCCTTACGATGATGATCATATAATAATAATGGTCATCGCAGCTGAGAATATGAAACAAAACTGAAAAAACTGTGCAGCTCAAACGAGACCGTGGACACTTCTAATATATATATGTATATATGAAAGGGAGAGAAAGACAGCGAGAGCCAGAACGAATGTTAGCCTAGCCATGATTTTAAGTTCAATGTAAGACCAGCTTTTGTTGAGTTTGATATCTTAGCTCTACCATCGATTTGATTAGATTGCAGAAAAGAAGTTCTAACTTCTATTAACACTACAGAGCCATACATACATACATGTCGGATTAATGGTACCAATGGTTAACATTAGGGAAAACCTGCGCCTAATTGATGTTTCCACACATCCAGTTACACCATGTCGAGTTTACGTTTCACAAAACGTAATACAATGTACAAACGTGTATACACCCTATGCTGGAGATCGTATCCTGCTATCCTGATACATCCCGCAAGTCGAATGTTGCCCCCATCGCTCCACCCGAAAGGCGTTACGGTCGTCACATCCTGATGGCACCAGAATAGAAATTACTCGCGTATAGCGTACGCATTTGCTTATATGGATAAAAATCAATATCGAATTCATTAATTTACCTTCTCTAGGTAACATTCAGGCACTATATATGTATATATGAGCTGAACTAGATTTAATTTGTGGTGTTGTTCTTTCTCTCCTGTCTTTACTACATTTTCCAGTATTCGACCGCTGCGAACTTACCGTATTACGTACGTTTTGAATTGTAGCGTTCTGTTTCCATGAGATAAGTTTGACAACTTGAACGCTTCCGAAACGAAGGGCACAAAATTCTTCACATATGACTGCCGTCTTTCTAGATAACAGCTGCATCGCCTGAGGCCTGCATGCCGCCGTGCCCTCAATCGCTAATGCATACTAGTCGCTTCTAACACAGCGTTTCGAGAAGTCTACTGGACAGATAAATATAACGGACAGAATTTACCGTAGAGGATATGAGTGGCAGCAGTGGCGGGTGAGGTTTCTCAACTACAGGCGCAACAGTGGGCAAAAAACGGGGGAACGGAAGGGAACATACGGCTGGTCATATTAGCTCGCATAGTGGATCGGTCCTGCTTTGTGGAGAAACGCCTGAGGGCGATGCCCTCGACGACGACGTCGGTTGCCATCACCGAGACCGGCGGGACGGTCGGTGCGGAAGACTGGTACACATGGCAAGCTGTAACAAACACGACAACTTAGAGCAGCTACGATAGCTCAGAATCGATGACTGCCGGCTCTTTGCAAGACCGCCGGGCCACTGGTGCTAGAAATTGGCCCAACCCGACCGGATTCAGCTTTCCTAGTCTGCTCCTAGATTAGCAGAAGCCCGATACGTAGAGGTGAGAATCGGCGAGGAGTTCCACGGCGCTAGTCCATAGCCGCCGCACCGCCGCCGTCGCCGCTGTCGCTGCGCTAGCCAGCCTAGCTATCGAAGACATTGCCAGAGCTTGTGCCAGAACGCAGCGCCCGCTCGCTCGCTCAGGCGGGCTCTGTTCTGTTACAGCAGCGGTGTCAACGCCAATGGCGGCGCCTGCATTCGACACGGCGCCACGGTCATATCAAACTATATTCTAGCCCAACTACGCTAGTTCGACGATGTGCTACGACGGGAAAGGGAAGGCCACGGGTGCTGTTCGTCGTCGTCGTCGTCGTCGTCGTCGTGCTGCTGCTGCCGCCGCCGCCGGTGCTGCTGCGATGCTTGCCTTGAAGGAGAGGGCAGTGTTGCGGAGCCGTTAGCGATGCCGGCTGTCAGTTTAGGCTGAGCGAGTATGCTGACCAGTCGTGGAGAGAGCCACAAGTAGTGCGAGAGGCGTAAAGAGAGCGTGGGCCTGCCACAGCCTGGAGAGTACCGAGTGAGGCCCGCTGGTTGGTAGGAACGGGCAGCGCGAGGAGGGCCCTAAGAGCCCCGTACGAGTCGGGAGGTGCTCAGCAGTGCAGGACTTAGGAGTAGTGCGAGTGAACAACGCAGGGCAATGCGAAAAAAGAACGTCAACGAATGAAACACGGCCAAAAGGCACAGATTTGTCGGTAGAGGAGAAACAAAGGCTAGATTGGAATATTTGGACCTCTTTTCATTCTGCCACAGCAGCTGCTGCCGATGCCACTTCACTACAGCCGCTGTCAGAACTGGAAACAGTAACGCGCAATTGACAACGGCTTAGGTTTGATTGGCAAAGGAAAACACAGGATTGGAACAACTTAAAGTTGAAAGTAGAACAAAATTACCAAGTATAACGAGGACTAGTGCTCGCTGTAGCTCTGTCGAAACGTCGCTAGAGAACAGCCGGGAATACAGGGCCACCGGTGAGAACGAGGTACGGTTCCGCGAAACAGGCAAATAGTGTTGAGTTTATGTCTGTCAATGGAGTATAACGCCGTGTTGTAGTAACGCTAAATGCTGATAAAAGGTCGGAAAGACGGTGGAAGCGTCGCTTGCGAAAATCTTGGCCAAGAGTGCCAAGATCTCACCGCGTAACACAGAAGAACGGACAACCGGCTGGAATGCGCGACTGGTAGAGTTAACTCGTGCCGCCCATAGCCATAGCTCGTTCTTGGTGAAGCTTATTGACATACATGTGGCAATCAGCATTGGTAAGTTGCGCGTGGCGGCAAAACTCGTCACCATCTCGTCTTAGTTAACGGATACGACGATATCCGGTGTCGAAGCACAGTGCATTGAGGATCGGTGCTACTTAGGACAACGAGGAAGAGTCACTCGATGCCGACAAGTTGCGGGCAATTCTGCTTGTGCTACAATTCCTACCGTAACCTCAGTTTCAGCAGACTACACGACTAGTAGTATTTGTGCAAAAAAAAAGAAGAAGTAGACGAATTGTTGCTGCTGCCAACTTCGCCGCCACCGCCACCGCCACCGCCGCCGCCGCCGCCGCCGCCGCTGCCGCCGTCAGCTCGTGCCACTGGCTACGGCAAGTTCGCTAACAGGAAGAAAGCGTGCCGCTGGGGTTCAAGCTAGAATCAAGCAGCTCGTCATTGTATATGCGTGTTCGCCTCGCGTGGTGTCCGCCGGCTGAAAGAGCTAGCCTCGCGTGTACAAAGTGTGTCTGGAAAAATATCAATCGCTATAAGAGCAGCTCGAGCTCTTGGCTTGCTTTACTGCTGGTCGTGATTATAGCTGTGGTGCCCCACTCGGTGTTACTGGATTTTGTAAAAGGGGCAAGTGTACACGCTAGTGAAAAGTTGTGTTTGTAGTGCTACTTCAGCCGCAGCTGTTCAGATACCCGTGGGTGGTGCTGGAGCAATCCGTGTGTTCTCCCGATTTTTCACATATTTTCGTATCACGTCCTGTAGACGTCAAAGTGCACGTCAAGACAGTGGGGCTGGCAGACGAGGAGATGGATTCGCTCGATTCTGCCGAGCTAAATCGGGAGGACCCTCATGTGGTGGACGATCTAGACGACGATGACCTGTCCGACGGTAAGTTTGAAAGTTCGTGTAACGGCTACTCCATGCCACAGCTGCTGAACGTGTTTGTGTATTATGGATTGTGGATGTGTGTGTACTGTGCGGGATAGGGAAAGCTAAGTGCTCTAGTGTGCGCGCGGCTTCGTAGGCCAGGTGGTTTCTATGCGGCCTCCTGCTGCTGCTGCTGCTACTGCTGCTGCTGCTGCTGCTGCTGGTGCTGCTGATGCTGATGTTGTTTACGGGAGTAACACAGAAAGACCAGTAAAGCCAAAGTGATGCAATATTGTGGCGCATTGATATCATAGCTGACGCAGATGCCTTTCCCCCCATATAGGCTATGAATGATATCCCACCTAAAACTAGCCTTTCGTTAAGTGGCTTTGGATATGTGATAAAGCTTATCGAAAGTTGTGGAGAGGAAAAAACCAGTAACATGAATGGTCGGACGTTCCAGTCGAGTGTTACCACTGGCAGTCTCCTGTTTGCCGTTAAGATTAGTCTGGAATGACGCTAGCGTCCCCTGTTAACACTAACCAAAGTTTCGGTCGTGAGAAGGGTCGGAAAACTTCTACAAAGCATCGAAGAACGCCTTGCGCCATTTCTGTGGCCAAGTGAAGTGCTCAAGATAGCTGTAGAATAGAGGGAAAGTCGCATTTCTGGCCATAGATAAATCGCTTTCCAACTAGGTCAACTGGCATCGTATAACAGCCTGCCTGCCGTTGCCAGACGGCAGTCACGGCTATGCCCCATCGTTGATGGCAACATTACCCTAGCTCTTTAAAGGTCTTACAGACCTATGTTTCGACCAGGCGTGGTATAGATTTATTGATTCTGTAAAAAAATACGTGTTTGGAACGTTCAGTGTACACAAAACAACATGGGCGCCATAGTTCTGACTTGGCCGCTGGAACTCAGACTAGGCATACCCTTGCCAATACTCCATCGTCGACAAACGACTTTATCTTAAGACCTGCTAGTTGAGAGAAGCTTTGCAGGTTCTGTTGGTGTACGAAAAATTGAACAAATATAGTTTTGAACATTGTTTATTAGTTAGGGTTAATACGCGACGCGTGAGTGGTCTGGCAACCATGTCTAGTCCCTAGTGCTAGTTACCGACGAAGCCGCCGGCTAGAGGACTGGAATATACGATGTGATGGCTGCGTATTGTCCTCAACTGTGGCAAGGTTTACGTTGTTACCGCAATCCTTATATCTGTGTCGAGGCCTTTTTGCTATTTTTTTGTGGCAATTCAAATCGAGAAATAGGAAATAGAAAATGTTTCACTGACTTTAAAAGGTTTTCTGGTCGAGTCTTCGAGTGGAGACGTTCTACCAGAAGTGTCTCAACTTTTTGGCATCGATGGTGCCAAGGATCTGTGATGCACTACGTCTGAAAACGACTTACATGATTTCTGGTACTCTAAAGCACCTTCTCCGGCTGCCTCTTGCCATCATAACCTGCAACTGGTGACTTGTTTTAGCATGTAGTAACTTCATGTTCTGCAAAGTCCTCTACTATCCCAGCTTTGTAGTTGTGCCCCAATTAATGTAGTATTGTACTCCTTTAAAACAAGTGAATCTTAGTTAACGCAATAGTGGAATACAACAAAAAATGCAGCTGGACAAAAGTTTATTTGCCAATATCAATGGCCGCTCTTTTTTCTGGTCGACCGTGGTTAGGCGGGCAAACTATCGCGGCAAGATGGCGGACAATAATTGGTTAGGCCTAGTTCTGGCCGTTGTTGGCTATGTGCTGTGGTGGTGATGGTGGGGAAAACCGCTGAGTACTCATAACACTGGACTAGATAAGTCGCGACGGGTCGGACTGGAAGAAGGCAAGGCGCATGCGCGGCCACAACGATGCTGCTAGCTCCTCGAACGGCAGCTGCAGGCGGCACACACGAACGCATCTATCCGTGCTTACAAGAGATGGAATGGGCATTCTAGCTGGGTCAGTCGGGGGTACAGGGATAAAAAATGGGGTGGCAGAAGCCCAATTCCCTAGCTACCCCCGCAAAATTCCTTGATCTGCGGATTGTGTTCCCCTACCGGCTAGGGCCAGAAAATATGCCAACTACAGCAATCCCCCGAGAGACCCCCGTGCAGTGTTACACCTAGGAAGCACACTACCTCGTGATCGACCTATGCCATGGCAGGGGTGGGTAACCGTGGAATGGAAGTAATCTAAATTAGAGGACTAAAAAGCAGGCCGTCATTGGAAATTATTTAGGGGTGGTAGTGAAAGAAACTGGGCCAGAACCTCACTGGCTCATGGCCGACATCTTCCAAAAGGGGCCACCGCTTGACTCTCTGATTATAGTCTAGACTGCTCACCCGACGCAACAAGAATCTAGGTCATGCAGGGGCAGCTGGCTCTGTTAGACTAGGTTACCGCGGTGCTAGAAACAGGAGTAAATTGATATGGTTAAACCGGCGGTAAGTTGGCGTTAGTAAGTGCTAGACAGTACAAAAATTATATTTTTGAACCGCTTATGGGTTTACCCATTTGCCAAAATAATTATTAGTTTAGGGGCGAGGAAAAGAAGTGAAAACACCATCAGCATGGGATTTTATTAAATGTTAGGTAGTTACGACTTATATAACGAACTTGTACGAACTTAATATCCGGTTTGGCAGTGGGTGGAATGCCATTTGTCCTTGACCCATTTCGAAAACCCTGGCAAAATATGGAATTGTGTTAAATATGCATGTTACTTTTTTCAACTTTCTAATGCGAGCACAGGGGCAATTACATTATTTTAGATGTTAATAATTATCGTATTTTTATTATTATTATTTTATAAGCTGTTTGACAGTGATCGATAGATGGACGCCGCGCAGATACACGTGAAACGTTGATGATTTAAAATCGGTCGACGGAAATGGGACAGTGCATAAGATTGCTAAATAAGTTCTAGCGGCTTAGATTTGAAGATTGTTCATTGTTTCCGTTTTTTTTAAATTTTCCCTTTACTGACAGTGGTGTTTTTAGACATGGGCGATGTGCTTGTCTAATAAAAGAACCTTTTGTCCTGCAGCCACCTGTGAAAGCTTAACCCTAAATAGAATTTTGTGGTCTAAACAAAACACTAACAACCGAGCCTTTTAACTAGACATAAAGCAGACGAAAAATAGGTGACAAAGCAAAAAGGAAGGACATCCATCACTTATTTATCAACCGAAGTGAGTTGTTGAAACAAGCTCTACAGAATTAATTATAACAAAAATAACATTTTAATAAAAATAAAATTAAGTAGTACTGCCACGTTTCGAAAAACAACGTTAGGTCTAAAACATTCAAGCGTTATTCGTAGGTTCTTATAGGTAATACTTGTACTTTTTGCTTTTATGTATCCTTAGCTCTCCAAAGAATGCTTGTGAACAATTTAGAATCTATTAACAACTATTTTAATGTAAATCTATGCATTTCTGTCTCAAAATACAGTAGTATATTCGAGAAGCTTCGTCACGTAGATTTTTTGGCCTATCACTTAGGCCTCGAGACATCTTTCTAAGATCTTGATAAGTACAATCCTATTAATGCATTGAAACTACGTATCAGTCTTCATCTTTCGCCTTTATGAGGCGAGGCTTTCTAATAACAAATCGTAAACATGTGCTAATGGGCTTATGAAATAGGCCCTGTTGTAGTAAACCTAAATGAAACACTTTGCAATAGAAATCACAATAAATTTTCATACTTTTGAGAGACGCAAAAAACTTTTTGAAAGAAACGTATTAATTTACGTTGATTTCGTACAGACGTAACACATTTTTGATTGTTCGGCTTTCCTAAAATATATTCCTCTATCGGATATTGTGTCAAACTTGTAACTGCAGTTATTTATTTTCCCATAAATTTTACGCTGATGAGCAGCTAAAACTAAGAACGGATTAATCTACAATTTATTATTATTATTATTATTATTATTATAATGTAATAATCTTGATACCACAAAGCTATATATTCATCTAGATAGGATCACCATGTGAAAATGCCTAATGTATCCTTCACATCCTTAAATTTAAGGTTTCAATTTTTGTCCACTATGCCTTAATGCACCTGTTGTAATTACGTAACGTGATTTAGATCTAAACTAGCTGCAAACAAAAGGTACAGATGTTAGTAAACTTACTAGCGTAACAACTAAAATGATCGTAAAGAAGATCCCTTGCAACCTTACCGATCAACCAAACTGTATCATATAAATGCTCAAGCGCTCGTTCAAGATATCGTGATATTGGGTCGAAGCCTTTTCCAATGAAACACCTCCGATAATACACAAAAGGGACCTCACAGAAACGTGCACGTATTATTTCGCTGTAAATTGTTTCAAACGCCTGTCCGCAAAAAGATCAAAGATTGAATCGTATACCCCCTGAAAGGAAGTTTATCCGTGAACTGTAGACCGAAATGTGGTGCATTTAGCCCATGAGGGCCAGGTAATTCGCAGAGGGCGACTATTGCTTGAAACGAGCGATACCTAATCTTTAGAAGAAATCAAGGTCGAACAAGTCAGCCTTTTTTGCATAGTCGCTAGAGATTTAACGGTTAGCAAATCACGGTCACCCCCAAGATTCCGCACACGTCGTGAAGTAACCATCATTTGCCTTCGTTGGACTTTAGACGAGGCTCGTTACTTAAAGGGCCTCACGCACGACCCCTCTCAAAGTAAGTCGCAAGGGTATAAAACGTTAGTGATGACGGGAAAAGCACATTGCTTGAGCCTGACCTTATTGGGATATGACAAAAAACAGCCGGCATGTTGTTTTCCTTAAAGATGTTAGCCAAAAATGAAGTCGCACCCGTTCTAGCAGATCAAAGCTGTCTGAGTGGATCAGGAAATTCGGTGAAGTTCATGCTCCCCTCCTTTTCTCTCTGAACTATTTCTTGAACTCGAAGATGCTCTTCGTAGTGAACTGATTGTTTCGTTGATCTGCGACGGATATAACGTGAAACTAGTGGTACTAAGTATTGACGTGTAGTAAGATGTTTTGTAGTAGATATGCTAACCTAATTGAGCCTTTACGTTACGCGATATGTATATGTAAAGCGCTAGCCGTCCGCTCTCCAATAATCTCTAGATATGTTTCTCAATGGTGAGCAGTCTCAACAGCCGCGGTACCGGTCCGGTACGGAGTGGGCGACAGCTACGGTAGCAGACGATGGTGGCTAATGGCCGATTACAGTTTCCCCCCACCCGAACATCGTATCTATGACACTTTTGCGACGTTTCCCCTGCCTCTCACTCTGCTGACCACCGTCGGATTGACTGTAAGCACCCGAAAGCGGTCGTACACCGTTTACCGTTCATTGCCACCGGCAGCAGCGGTAGTAGCGGCCACAAGCTGCGACAGCGTCACCCAGTTGGCAGCGACTTCGAGCGTCTATGCAACAGTGCGATGCGCTGAGCGTACGGGACTGGCGCCGCTACTGTGGCTGTCGATTGTCAGGCTTTTTTTGCCACGCTGTTACCTCCAAGAGTGCAGCAGCGTCCATGGGCCGCCGCGACTGCTGCCGTCGCATAACAACATCGATATGTAAGTAGGTTATCACTATGCACCAGGAGCTGGCGTATGGGATGGCAGCTGGGCGCTTGGCTGAACGACTCGCAGCTAGTACGGCGGGCCAGCACGTGTTGGAATCGACGCTATTCGCAGCGCTGACGCAATCAACGCGGGGCAACAACACACATTTATTTGAAGTAATACTTTGCACGAATAAAGGCGGAGCTCGCTGCAGCGGCAGTGCCAGCTCAGGTACTGTTTACTCTGTGTAAAGGTGCCATAGCTATTGGCTGTTTTGAAGGGTACCGTTAATGATACCAGATGGATAAATTGTCGTCCGATACTTGTAGGACAGCCACGGGTTGCTGCGGGCAGTCTCTTTTACTTTCGTTTGTATGCGTGAGCAAACGTGAACGTTAATGTGTGTGTTCAAACAACGTTTTTCATGTGTGTGTTATCGCGCCTAGTACAGTAACGATTAGGACGGCTATTGCTGCTGGTAAATATAAATGCTTATCGTTGACTGGACCGGGCGTCGTCACAACATTAGCAGTAGCTGACAACGCCCGCTATAATCTATCTCAGTGCAAAGATGCGGTGCACTGGTTTCGCGCATCCGCGGTTCACCATTCGTGTCGTATACATATCATTACTGCGCCATTAACGACGTTGATGAATACGCGCTGCACTGAGCACGCCATCGAGAACTTCTGCCCCTTGAGAGAGAGAGAGAGAGAGAAGGGAAAAAATCGATTGGACCCGTGCTCGAGTGACAAAAAACGACATAATTAGAGAACTAAAGAACTCGAGAAATAGTTCTCGCTTTGTAATAGAACTCTCGCGCATCGGTAGGGCTGTGGCCTATCAGATCCGCGTGTATGAGCGTTACTTCGGATAACGAATCAAGGAGCTACAGCGGTTCCTGCCGCGGGTGCATTGCCAAGGAATCTCTGCTCGCCGGCGATAAAAGCAGTGGCACCACGCCGACGATCAACTGACTGACGTTAGCAGCGAGCCCGCTTAACAGCGATTAGGAAAGATTAACAGGAAGAGATGGTATATATGGCGGAGCAGTATGCAATAGTCGACAGCGAATGGGGCCGAATACCGTTTAGATCTAGTTTTCCGGAAGCAAAATATCAATTCTTACATATCAGGCAAAAAAGGGGGCAGTAATTGAACGCATCGAGGAGACATAGCGCTCAGACGTCTTATCTGCGGGCGCTCCTTCTTGGGAGCTCCTTCCAGAACGAGTTTGGACTTACGTGCTACATGTAAGACGAGAGCATTATTTGAAACATTGCATTATTACGGCACAACTTGATAGAGATCTCCGGGGGTTCCAGGCAATAATGACCTACAATAGTGGTTCACAGGGATAGAAACAAAGACACGAATCTCTCTAGAGTTGGCTGACAGTCATCTCAGTCAACACTTCAGAGCAGCATGCATATAAAAAGAAAAAAGTGTGTTTTTGATATCAATCCTTTCGATCGAAGTTCTTGTAGACCTACATTTTTAGCAGCGCGATAATTCCTCGAACTCAAACGCGCGAGACAGCTACTGAGAATGTTGGTTTCAATTTGGATGTATGCGGCATACGGTATCGAGTAGGGTTGATAATGGCACACGGAAACTAGAATGCCGTAGAATCGGTAACAGAGAATTCACTTAATTTTGTTAAAAATAGCTAACACAGTTCGCTTTAACATCGACTAGTGTCAATTTCCTGTCTACTTGAACTCACTAATCGTTTTGGAATGATCGTCGCAACAGACTGTTTATATTAAGCCCGCTATCGCCAGTATTTAAAATTGAATTAGATTTGTTTTTGTTACGAGTTGAACAACAACGAACTTTATCTGTTTGATCTATAATTAGACAGGTGTGCGTTTTTTTCTTCTATACGTTTTTTTTTTTCTGCTATA